GTGAGTGTGGGGAAGGTGCATGAGGCAGTGGGTAGAATGAAAGGGGAATACAGCATCTGGAACTGATGGGATCATGACATAAATGTTAAAAGCAGGGGGGGGGGGGGATAGTTTTGGAGTGGTCAGTACTTTTGTTCAATAAATGTTTGAAAGAGGGGAAGGTACCTAGGGATTGGCAGTGTGTGTGCATAATTCCTTTATATGAGGGAAAGGGGGACAAGAGAAATTGTAAAGATTACAGGGGAAGAAGTTTACCGAGTTCTAGATAGTAGGTTAGTAAACAGCAACCACACAGGGAGGTACTATCGTCCTGCCAAGCGAGTGTAAAACGGAAGCCTGTAATTGTTTTACATGACGTTTGGATTGCTGGTTTTAGGTACATCTTGCTACTTCTACTTACACTTAGATCACACTACACATGCATGTACAAGCACATATATACACACCCCTCTGGGTTTTCTTCTATTTCCTTACTAGTTCTTGCTCTTGCTAATTTCCTCTTATCTCCATGAGAAAGTGGAACAGAATTCTTCCTCCATAAGCCATGTGTGTCGTAACAGGCGACTAAAATGCTGGGAGCAAGGGGCTAGTAACCACTTCTCCTGTATATATTACTAAATTTACAGAGAGAAAGTTTCGTTTTTCTTTTTAGGTCACCCTGCCTCGGTGGGATATGACCGGTTTGTTGAAAAAAAAAAAAGTTCACCGAGTATACCAGGTTAAGTGTATGATAGGGTTATTATTGAAAGAATTAGAGGTAAGATGGAAAGCAGAATTGCAGATGAACAAGGAGGCTTTAGAATGGGAAGGGGCTGTGTAGATCAAGTGTTTACATTGAAGCATGTAAGCAAACAATCTTTATATAAAAATAGGGATGTTTTCATTGCATTTATGGATTTAGAAAAGGCATATGATAGGGTGGATAGGGAAGCAATGTGGCAGATGTTGCAAGTGTATAGAATAGGTAGTAAGTTACTAAATGCTGTGAAGAGTTTTTATGAGGATAGCGAGGCTCAGGTTAGGGTTTGTAGGAGAGACAGAGATTATTCTCCAATAAAAGTAAGCCTTAGAGAGTGATGTGCAATATCACCACGGTTGTTTAATATACTGTATTTATAGATGGAGTTGCAAAAGAAGTAAATGTTAGGGTGTTGGGGAGAGTAGTGGGATTAAATTATGGGGAATCAAATACAAAATGGGAGGTGACACAGGGTGTGTAAAGAAAAAGTTGAAAGTGAACACAGAAAAGAACAAGGTGATGAGGGTATTAAACGAGTTACGTAGAGAAAAATTGGATATCACATTGGAGGGAGTATGGTTGAAGTGAATGTGTTCAGATACTTGGAGGTAGATTTGCCAGCAGAAGGGTTTATGAAAGACTAGGTTAACCATAGAATTGATGAAGTAAAAAAGGTAAGTGGTGTATTGAGGTGTCTGTGGAGACAAAAAATGTTATCCACAGAGGCAAGGAAGGGAATTTACAAGAATGTAGTGGTACCAACACTCTTATATGGGTATGAAGCATGGGTTGTGAATGCTGCAGCAAGGAGGCGGCTGGAGGCAGTGGAGATGTCATGTCTAAGGGCAATGTGTGGTGTAAATACAGTGGACCCCTGCTTAACGATCACCTCCCAATGCGACCAATTATGTAAGTGTATTTATGTAAGTGCGTTTGTACGTGTATGTTTGGGGGTCTGAAATGGACTAATCTAGTTCACAATATTCCTTATGGGAACAAATTCGGACAGTACTGGCACCTGAACATACTTCTGGAATGAAAAAATATCGTTAACCAGGGGTCCACTGTATTATGCAGAGAATTCATAGTGTGGAAATTAAGAGGTGTGGAGGCAAAAATTTAACAGAGTATGAGAACCTAATGCCATACGGCTATTATTAATGATTAAGTGGGAAAATTTATCACAGGTTAACAGTTACACACAATTTTCATAAAATTTAGTGCATATTAGAAGAGATAACATAAGATAAAATTCCACTTACAAATATTATTCAGAGGGCTGAAGAGGGGTTATTGAGGTGGTTTGGTCATTTAGTGAGAATAGAGCAAAATATAATGACTTGGAGGGTGTGTAAATCTGTAGTGGAGAGGAGGAGGGGTAGGGATTATCCTAGGAAAAGATGGAGGGAGGGGGTAAAAGAGCTTTAGTGTGCAAGAGGCCTGGACATGCAGCAGGCATGTGTGAGTGTGTTAGATAGGAGTGAATGGAGACCAATAATTTTTTTGGACCTGACAGGCTGTTGGAGTGTGAGCAGGGTAATACAGTATTTTGTGAAGGGATTCAGGGAAACCAGTTAGCCAGACTTGAGTCCTGCAGGTGGGAAGTACAATGCCTGCACGTTAACCCTTTCAGGGTCCAAGGCCCAAATCTGGAGTCACGCACCAGTGTCCAAGAATTTTCAAAAAAAAAATTTGTTATTTTTTCTTATGAAATCGTAGAGAATCTTTTTGTGAAGGTAATAAAACAAAAAGTACGAAATTTGGTGGAAAATTGACGAAATTATGCTCTCGCGAATTTTGATGTGTCAGCGACATTTACGAATCGGCGATTTTGCCGACTTTGACTCCCATTTTAGGCCAATTACATTATTCCAATCAACCAAATTCTTAGCTATTTCACTAGTATTACTTCTATTCTATCGATTGAGCACAAGAAATCGCCAAGTCAAACTGTTTCAACTACAAAATAAAGTGATCGGAAATTGTTAATTTGGCCAATTTAACACAAAGTTCAAAATATTCCAATTTCAAAATAGGGTCCAGAATAAACAATGTAGGCATTCCTGGCACTAAACTAACGTTTCCTCTGTTCATTAGTTATGTTTTGAGGCTTTACAAATAAATTCCATTTTGATTTTTTATTCACATGATGAATTTTTATTCACACCAAAAATAGAAGATTTACTGTTATGCAATACTGTAATAATTGTATAAATATCATCACCATATTTGTGAATGTATATTAGACCCACCAGCTGACGTGTATTAGACGTGTGAGGTCGTTTGTTTACTCTTGAATATCGGCAAAAATTTAACATTTCCGCTACTTTGAGCTCAGTTTCAAGCCATTTCCAGTGCTAAAACCAATCAAAATCATCTCTATTTCTGTAATATGTCTTCCATTCTATCAAATGAGACCAAGAAATCGCAAATACAACTATAAAAAACATACGAAAAAACACTGCAAAGTTGCTGTTTTAATCGAAAAATCATGATTTAAGTTTTTTTCTCTCATTATACACAGTGTGCTGCAGGATCTGTTTTATGTGGTGCACACATACCACATAGATGTATTCTCTCATATCTAGGCCCAAATGTACCACTCACAGTTTATCAGAGTGAGCTGAGCTCATGGCGTAGATCTACGGTTTGGACCCTGAAAGTAAAGCCGTAGATCTACGGGACGGACCCTGAAAGGGTTAAAGAAGGGGTTTGAAATATTTGCTGTTTGGAGTGTCATCTAAACTGTCGTATCTGGGCACCTCTGCAAAAACAGTGATTATGTGTGAATGATGGTGAAAGTGTTTCTTTCTTTGGTCACCCTGCCTTGGTGGGAGACTGCCACCATGTTAAAAAAAAAAAAAAATTACAGCAAAGAAAATAAATAGCCCTTGGTTAACAAATAGCATCATCAGATCCATTGACAAAATCATTAATATTTAAACCAGTTCAGACTGGGCTTAACCCTTTCAGGGTCGCCAGGCCCTCTCCGAGACTTGTTCTCAGGGTCGCAAAATTTAAAAAAAAAAAAAAAAAAAAAAATCTTACGAAAAAATAGAGAATCATTTCTCGATCATAGTGACACCAAAAGTATGAAATTTGATGGAAAACTTATGGAATTATGCTCTCGCAAAGTTAGCGGTCTCGACGATGTTTACGCGTCGGAGATTTTGCCCACTTTGAGCCCTATTTTTGGCCAATTCCAGTGTACTAGTCGACAAAAATCATACCTATTTCGCTAGAACTCCATTTTTCTATCATTGAGTACAAGAAACCACCCATTTACTGATTTCAACTATCCAATAAAGTGGTCAGAATTTAGCAATTTTGCCAATTTCACACAAATTTCAAAAGATGCCAATTTCTGAATAGGGTCCAGAATAAACAAGAAAGACATTCCTGGCACTAAAATAATATTTCCTCTGTTCATTAGTCATGTTCCCACGCCCCTCTTACATTCTTTTGCTTTCCACTTTGAATTTTTATTCTCACAAAAAAATTGAAGATTTACTGTTATGCAGACTACTGCATTAGTGTAGAAATGGTATAAATAATATCAGCGCACTTGTGAAAGAATATTAGAATCACCAGTTGACATGTATTGGATGAATAGCATGATTTGTTTACTTTTGAACTTTGGTAAAAATCGAACATTTCTGCTACTTTGAGCTCAATTTTAAGGTACTTTTCATTGTAAAATCAGTCAAAATCATCTCAATTTCTGTAATATGTCTTCCCTTCTATAAAATGAGACCAGGAAAACTAGAATACAACAATAAATACCATACGAAAATACAGTGCAAAGTCGCTGTTTTAATCCAAAAACACAGTCAAAGTTTTTTTTCTCATTATGCACTGTGTGCTGCAGGATTTCTTTTATACTTCGCACACTGACCACACATTGCCCTAATACACAACATCTCCACTGCCTTCAGCTCTCTCCTCCCATGCATCATGCCCATTCTCTCACACATCTCCCTTTTTGCCTCCATGGATAATGTCTGTTGTTTTCCCAGATGCCTCAATGCACCACCCACCTTATTCTTCCTTATCAATTCAATGGTTCACCTCATCTTTTATATACCATCACAGATTTGAGAATTTTGATCCCAAGTACTTTTTTACAAATGGAGTTCAAGAATATGTTAAATTCATTGAAAATAAAATTAGTTATGACAAATTCAATAAAGTAGTACATGATAAACAATATTTTTCATAGCTAGGGATCAAATTAAAAATAAACATTGGTACTGGTACTCACTTAAAGTTATTCTTCCTTTTCCTTCTTTCTTATGCTTTTTATAATCTTTTTTACGCTCCTTATCCTTCTTCTTTTTCTTCTCCATATGTGAGGTTTCTCTATTTCTTGCTACAGGAATAGGCTGAATAGTTTTGGCTGTCAGAATCTGGCGTTGCCAATCCGTTGTCTTTAACATAGCATCAAATCTTTCTGACAGTGAAACATCTGAAAAACATTAGTTATATTACACATTTAATATACAAATTAAGGCACTTTACACAACAATCAAGATAATAACAGATCAAGATGTTATCTTAATAAATGCTTCTGCAACAAGTGTCTTTTCTTCACTACTGTGAGCAGTATGCTATTTACCTTCAACATACTACATAAACTTTCAACAAATTTATCAAATTTATTTCTTTTAAAATCCTATACCAAAATACAGTGAAGTATTTACTTAGCATTACCATGTAACATTCCTATTACATTTTTGTTTCCATCAGATCCATTACATAGACTACAGTACTGTATACAAGTTTTGGACTTCAATATTCTGGACATGCTATTAAGAGAATGTTAATGATCATATTTGTCATACAGGTTTCACATATTAGAGCATTATTGTTAAACATACTAGAGAGCTTTTAGAGTTATTTCTGAATGTTGCTAAAAATCAATATTAACATACAAATGCTTGTGGCTATGACTGAAAAATCATTAGTTTTTCTTAATAAAGATTACTTGAAATTTATGAAAACAATTTAAAAAATGTAGTAGAGCACTTACCAACAGGTTGTGAGAGCACTGGATGATAAGTGGGGTCAACGCGTGCATGACGCTCACTTGCTGGTTGTGTGTGGGGATCTGGTGGGGCTGCAGGGGGGACCAAGCCTTGAAGACGTGTGCATAGCACACATGTAAGAGGCGGAACACACTTGCACTGCACAGCAGGAATACGTCCTCCCCCGCCCCCTCGTCTAAGTCCGGCACAGAGACCAGCTCCTGCCCTCACTAGACGTCGTCTTCTAATAGTTCGAAGACCTTGGGTACGAGCTGACACAAAAGATCCATCAGATACACTGCCACTAGCACCATCCTCAACTCTGCTATGGTACCCATTTACAGCAGTACGAGTAGTGGGGGCAGCCAGGCACGTAAGGGCAGGATCGTGGACATCTAAATGAGCAGGATCACGTAAAGTCATCCCTCTCCAACGACTTCCCTCTTCTAACTGTACTGCGCCTTTTGCGTTACGCACATGCCTGGGAGAGACATCCAACATATAGTTCAATCGCATTAGGGCGATTCTGGCCTCCAATCCCAGTATACCTATAAAAAACAAAAACAAACTTTTTTCCCACCTCTCCCTCTCGTCCAGCACTGCAGAACCTTCCTATATTTATCACATATTATAAATAATAAAACTGTAATTACTCACTTGTAAATAACAATTTCTATTTATAGAAGAGCTACTATCAGTGTCATGTTCTCAGTAATAATTCTGTCTTTCAATTTCTCTAAGCTTCAATAGTTTTAACACACTGTCTCTTGCTAGCATTACATTTCAGCTATCTACCACTGAGAGAAACTGTTTTCTAGACAATTTCCTGACCACTGTTTTCTTAGTCTTAAATTGTTGCCCTATTAGATTGAGAGATCCTCCTTTTTATTTTTTTTACAACTACATGTATATATGTTTTATCTTAAAATATATATGGTTATCTAATTTGCCCTTTTTCTCCTGTCTAGTAATAAGGGAATTTCAATTATCATTAGTCTGTCATTCTAATTTACATACCCATCACTAGGGGATCCATTTTGTAAGCCTTAATCTTCTATTTTACCTTTATGCTATGTTTTTTTAGCAATTAATCCTATTAAGCAAATATCTTTCTTAAAATGGCCAAGACTGTTGCTAAATTGGTTGTGACATGATAATGTAACACTGAATTTATACTGTTTATATTGCACTTCCTCAGTCCTTCTTGAAAGATCCCAGTTTTATCCAGTCTTATCTTTATGTATTCTTGCCCTTTTTTCATTAATGTTATAAATACAGTACTTTAATTAAATTTAGTTATTTGACCCTAAAGTAAATAGAATGGGCTGACACTGGCTTAAGCATAAAAAAAAAAAAATGTAACATTTACTGTACAGTATACATGTTTTGAACTGTAGCAGTGGTGCACCTATGGAAAGATAATGATGGAGTAAGTGATGGTGAAAATTTCTTTTTTTGGGTTACCCTATCTCAGTGGTAGACGGCCAGTGTGTTAAAAACAAAAGAAGTATATCTACTGTATATGAGTATAGATAGAGGTTAAGATATTTTTTTTTGTTTTTACAAAAGAGAAGGGGGGATGACTTACTAATAGGTAATATTTCTTGATGGCACCAATCTATAAAATGTCATCTCTATACTCTAGTGAGATGTAATATAATGGCACTACAGTCAGCCCACTGGCCATGCTAGGAAGGTCCTGCCTACAATCACACATTCCTTTCATTTACAATTGTCAAACTAATGTTTTAATTCCTATATTAGCACTGTAGTAGGCCTACTGGCCTGTGCTAAGCAGGTTCATCTCTCACCTAACTCTAACCACTTCTCTGGCTGTCCAAACTTTGCAGTTTGTTTTAATTATCTGCAACTCTATTGCCAAACTAATATTTTTCTATGCTTTTCAAATCTGAGTTTATCTACTTTGAATCTACTCTATTGAGTTCTTTTTTGGGGTCACCTTAAGATAATTTTGAATGACACTGTCCACATGGCTCAGTCCCAGACCAGGCCTCCTGGTTGATGGCCTGATCAACCAGAATGTTGGTGCTAGCCACACAGCCTCAAGTAATCACCAAAGCCCAGTTGATCAGGCACCAACATGAGGAACTTATCATGTTCCTTCTTGAAAAACAGCTAGAAGTAATTTGGCAATTCCCCCCTGTGTATTGCAAGTACTTTAATTCTATACTCACTATAGAGTAAACTCCTCCATGCCAGGACAAAGCTTGTTAAAATACTAAATGCTGAGGTGGCCAGTTGTTGCAGCACCGTTTATGTGACCACAATTTAAGGGACATATGATGGATATTAGTTAGCTTCTGCTGCTTCATCCCTATGAAATGTAACTTGATGCTCCTGTTATACAATCCTAAAAATATGTCTGACAAATATATGAGTGGGAATGATTGAAAGAGAGTAGGGCCTGTGACATACCAATGACCTGTTTTGAGGGTTCTATCTTAGTACCCCAAACTTGAACCAGGCTTCCTTATTGCCTAGTCAACCAGGCTGCTTGTGCTAGTGGCCCACAGGTCCTCATAGCCCAGATGATTAGGAATTTGCAGGAGATAGTGCTCTAGTTTCTTTTTAAAAACTTCTTCCTTCATTTCAGCAATATTTCTGATTTCTGATGACCATGGAAGTTGACAGTGTTCTCCAATTGTACTTATGGCCTCCCTAGGTTTATTGTACACTCTCTCATATCTGCCACTCCAATCAGTATTGGTATGATGCAGACTGGTGACCAGGCCCTCAAGTATCTTCCAAGTAAATATTATCAGTCTCTCTTCATTCTACAGAAAAACATCATAGTACTTGAAGTTCCCAGTAGATTAGAAGTATTGATTCTATGCAAGAAGCAAGCCTCCTCTGAACATTTTACAGACAACAGTAGAACTGACCAGACTAGTAAATATCCCTGACCTTGTTTTCACAAACAATGAGGACCTAGTACAGAACAAAATGGTGTCAAAACAACTAATTCAGACCTCAACCTAATCGAATTTCAAACCTCCATACACACTGGTCTTCAGCAGCAAAGTAAACTAGCCATGAGGGGTGTATTCAGCAAATACAATTTAAACAATAAAATCATGGACTGGGAGCATATAAATCATTGACTTTGGTGAAATGTGCTGGTTAAGAAAATATGGTTGACATGGCAAGAAAAATATAAAACACTGAGCTCAAACAGCATGCATCATACAAGGCCCAGGAGAGGCAGAGGAAAAAAAAAAAAAAAACACATCTGGTCTTGGGCCATTGTCTTAAGGGAGAGGGAACATAAACTGATGACACAGAAATAAGTGAAATACTAAAGTTACAATGTGACTGTTCAGGGAGCCATTAATCAGTCTTAGCCCTTAAACGGTCCAAAGAGATTGACGTTCAAATTCGTAGTGCTACAAAAGTAGATCTACTTTTTTTTACATATTTTCAAATATAACAAAAAAAAATGTAGATAAAAGTTTTTTTACATGTTTTCAAATGTAAAACAAAAAAGATCTACATTTTTTTTACATACTTTCAGATGTTGAAAAAAAGTATATATACGTTTGGACCATTTAAGGGTTAATATTAACAACCAAAATTAGTTTTTCATGGACGAGACTCAGAACTCTGCTGACATCTCCATTATTTCTGATGTAAGCTAATCCCACCTGACACTGAAAAAGCTAATGACTGCATGCCCCTGCACTTTGCTCCAGGCTCTGACTCAGGGTACTCCATGTTCATCTAGAACTGCAAGACACTACTACCTCATCATGGCTCGAATATTCTATAAGGGGCCTGGACACAGAAAACATCCCATAGTCATTATAAACCACTGACATTTCACTCCACAAAAGTGGCACTAAAACAATCACAAAAAACTATGAACTAAGTGCTGATGTCCCTCATAATTAAAATCTTTGAGTCTTCAGAAGCAAGATTGCTAATCAACAGGAATCTCAACAACTGCACAACCCAGAGCAGCGTGAGTTTAGAAAAGGTCACTCCTGCCTCTCACAATTGCTTGACCATTACATGGTTTTAAATGCAGTGGAAGACAAGCAAACAGCCGATGTAGTTTACACTGAGTGTGCAAAAGTCTCTGACAAATGTGATCAGGGTGTAAGAGCCCACAAAATGTATTCAAAAGGAGTAACTGGAAAAATGGGCAGATGAATATTAAATTTTCTGGTGAATAGAATCCTAAGTGCAATAGTGAACAGACTGAAATCAAGAGGCTGCCATAGTGAAAAGCTCTGTTCCTTAACCCTTTATCTCCTAAGATGACCATATGGTTATTATAATTAAATCCGTTTTCTTTTCAGGCTGGCAACAAAACTTTTATAAGAAAGCGGCTATAACAGGTTCCAATGAGTGTGTGACTCCTCCCTCTCTCAGGCCAGGTAGTGAAATCAGTTTCTGAGCTACAGTTACTGAGTGCAGACACCCTTCTCTACGAGTATCTCTGTTTTGGTGGTGGCAAGAATGGCAAGTGCAAAAAGGTGAGCCTTGAATATAATTGTTCTTTTTAAATTCCATCATATTGTGACACAGAATAGGGCTATATACGTATTATTTATTGCAAAAGTTTCATGTAAAAATTTTAATTTTAAATAGTACCTATTCAGGTTTACATTTCTGGTAACAGTATCGTTACCTTAGGAGTATGTCTGTACAGTTACTGACATTCACATGTCTATGTGGCTTCAGTATTTTTTGACAATTGTTACTTTTTTTTTAGGCAAAAAAACACTGAAACCTTAGACCTTCTAATGAGCTGGAGGAAGCTGAAGATCTCTACATTGAGCCCCCAGATGTGAGCAACCTGACTGATTTTGATTGTTTCTGGTTACAATTCATTGCCCAGCAAATCTATGTATTGGTCGCATGACCCTGATGTATACAACCAAGCTATAAGCAATGAAATGCATCGAGACAGATTTAATTCCATCAAGAAATGCTTTCATTTCAATGCAACTCACAACCTAGACACAAGTGATAAGTACACTAAACTGCATCCTCTGATCACACACCTCCAAAAGATGCTTAAGAAACACTTCATCCCTTCACAAAATATGTATTTCACATAATGAGGCAATGGTGAAATATTTTGGTAAGCATGGCTGTAAGCAGTAAATTCGTAACAAACCTATTTGTTTTGGCTGCAAAATATGCTGTTAAAACACCCCTTCTGGTTATCTGCAAGCTTTTGACCCATACCAAGGAAAGACTCACGAAGGGAATGAAAACATGGAGAGTGAACTTGGCAAACCTGCATCTACTGTTATACATATCACTGAAGAATACAGTGAGAAAGCAAAAGTCTAGGTGAGAACTGCAAATCTGTAGTGCATACAGAGTGTTGCAAATGTGATGTAGGATTATGTATTCCATGCTTTGCTTCAAACCACAAGATGAAATAAATGCAGCCAATAAAGCCAATGAAGTACTGTTAAAAGGAAATCTCTTGAAATTTTTGTATCCACA